AATGGCCGTGGACCACATGTCAGGGGCGGAAAATGGCCGCGGACCACGTGTCAGGGGCGGAAAAATGGCCGTGGACCACATGTCAGGGGCGGAAAATGGCCGTGGACCACGTGTCAGGGGCGGAAAAATGGCCGTGGACCGTGTCACGGGAGGAAAAATGGCTGCGTATCCTGCTTGTACCCCGAGGCGGAGTTCGCAAACCGAAGCAAAATTTTGCGGCCGGAGCTGATCATAACCCGAAAAGTTCGTTAACAGAAGCATTCGTAACCCAAGGTTCCACTGTAGTAGCGCTAATTTAGTGGTTAGTGGTGAAGATGTTGGTCAGGTATTGGAGAGACACAGGTTCTAGTCCACTTTTAGCCATGAAAGCTCACTGGGTGACTTTGGGCCAGTCACACTCTCTCAGCCCAATCTACTTTTTCAGGTTGTTGTTGTGGGGAAAAAGAGGAGGAGGACATACTACCATGAGCTACTGTATGAAAAAAGGCAGGACATAAAGTTTACAAATAAATGAACCAATTGATGTGTTCTCCTCCACATGATGTGCACCTACTCTTATTAGATACTATATTTACCTGAAAGGCAAACAGCCCTGAATTTCAGACAGTCTTCATTGCCAAAGGAAAATTAGTTGGGCAAATACTGCTTCTAAATGCATCAGACTGCCGCCACCCAGAACAATAACAAAAACAACTCAGTTAAGTCAGGGGAAAAGCATTTTGGAAATGATCCAAAATCCAAATAACACTTTTATTCAGACTTAATCAAAATGTCACCAAAAAACAGGCAATATACTAAATATATTAAACAAATCGGGAGTAGAGAAGACTGAAAAGCCCATAGCCATGAAATCTACTTTAACTACTGTCTTAGTTGATAGATGATCATTTAAATCAGGTCTTGTTAGGGGAGAACCAGTTTGGTGTAGTGGTTAAGGTGTTGGCCTAGAAACCAGGAGACTGTGAGCTCTAGTCCCACCTTAGGCATGAAAAAACAGCTGGGTGAGTTTGGTCCAGTCACTGTTTCTCAGCCCAACTCACCTCACAGGGATGTTGTGTAGGGAAAATAGGAGGAGGAAGGAGTATTGGTATGCTTGCTGCTTTGAGCTGTATATGAAGAAAAAAAAGTGGGATAAAAATATTTTTAAAAATGCATGATTAAAACTGGGTCTCAGAATGCATTTCAACAACTGAGACAAACACAACGGTTGATCTTGTTCTGTAATTCATAAAATACAGTTGTTACTGAGATGTTTCCATTTAAATGCTTTAGCTTCCTTCTCTGATAAAAATAATCCTTTCTTGTTTCTGAGCTTCCAAACTTTTGCTGTCCTGTGCAACAGAGCTTTATTTTTTTCTAATTAAAATCGGTCTATCAAATTTGGCAATTAATAATAGATGAAAACATCTTGGCTAAAAAAGCTTGAAGGAGGAACATTTGTGCCTATTCCCAGACAAAATAATTGTTATATTTTGGATACTGGTACAATGTATGGCTACCAGAATGCTTAGGAAGTCATAGTAAATATAAATGCCTTTTATTAGATTCTGTTGTTCCTGATAGCACCTCAGAAAGGAATTAATAAAAAATTGAAGTTTCAAATGCAAGGCACATTCAAAGCAGAAATATTTAGCTGTTGTATTATAATGAAAGCTGATTGCCTCCAATGCAAAATAATAGAATATTTGTTATCTGTTTGAATACATGAAGTAGCTAATTGCAGGTTTAGGAAGAGTTTATTTCTTAATCTGTAAAGGGACTTTGCCTTGCATCACCATAGCAACCACTATAAAGAAAACTTCCAATGTTTATTAAACATGAAAAGTATGATAAAATTCAGTTATTTGAATTCGATATTGAAAGGGCTAGCTATTGCCTATAGCATAGTATGTCTGTCTGTCTGTCTGTGCATCAAATAAAATCAATTACATAATTACAGTGGGGTGTATGTGTGTGTAAAATAAAATCATCAATTACATAATTACAGTGGTTTTCTTTCCTCTAAGGGCAGTTTGTTTATTTACATAGATTTAAAAACACCCAATTCCAGACAATTCTGGTCCAAAATGCAGCAGCATGGTTAGTTCCTCAGTACCACAATTCTGCGAGCTACACTAGCTTTCTATCAGCTTCCAGGTGCAATTCAAGGTGCTGGTTCTCACCCAAAAAGCCCCACATGGCACGGGACTGGGTTATTTGTGGGCCACCTTCTTCCAAAGGTATCTGCCTGTCCCACACACTCCAACAGGGTGGGCACGGCTCCTCTCCTTGGAACAATGTCATCTTGTGGGACCTAGGAGGCGTGCCTTTTCCATGATGGTGCCTGCTCTCTGGAATTATACCACATTTTATTTTTCATTTATTTACAAGGCTTACTTGGCCATATGATGATTCTAGGCAGCTCACAACAATCCATTAAAAACATAGCTAAAAACAAAGGTACCCTTCCCCCCACCTGCTCAGGTGCCAGACCAAACAGCCTCCCAGTTCAACCCTCATCCTAGTCCAATGCTTGGGGAAGAGCTAGGTCTTCACCACCCTCCAGAGACCCAAAAGGGTAGGGATCCCTCTGATCTCAGGTGGGAGGCTGTTCCAAAGGGCTGGGGCGGCCACTGAGAAAGCACACTTCCGAGGTCCCAACAGGTGGCAATATTTAAGGGAGGGGACCTGGAGCATGCCCACCCTATCTAACCTAGTAGGATGGGCAGATACCCCCAGGGAGAGGCGGTCCCACAAGTAACCTGGCCCTGTGCCACGTAGGGTTTTAAAGGTGATAGCCGGTACCTTGAATTGCACCCAGGAGACTGGGAGCCAATGCAGCTCACCCAACAGTGGTGTTCCTTGAGTACAGTTGGCCCTGATCTTGCAGGCCTTTAAAAAGCAATGAAATCTGGGCTCTTTTCTCAGGTGTTTGGGTCAGGATGATTAGAGATTCTGTCTGGAAGCATGCAATAAATGAGTACCCAATCTGTTTTAGTTGGTATTATTTTGTTTTTGGTATCTTTGTGTATTGTACACTGCCCAGAATCACATTGTTTGAGTTGGGCAGCCATATACTGTAAATTCAATAAATAAAATTCCCAACCAGAATATTTTCCTATATTATTAAATGGGGCTGGCCTTAACAACAACCTGGAAACTTCAGCTAGTGCAGAACATACAGAATATGATCAGTGAAAAGTTAGGAATTTAATGGCTACTGTTATTTGATACATATTCCATCTTCCTTCCAGCCAAAATAACTGGGAAGCAGAAATCTAATCAGAACAGCCAGACTGAAACACATTTTTAAATTATTTTATTTATTTTGCTTTGATACTATTTTTATATTGTTTGTTATATTGTCTTGAACTTATATTCTGTGCCGTTCAGAGTCATAACGGAGCAAACAAGTTATAAAGCACTAGCTAGCTGTTCATTTTCAAACCCCATTCAAGATATTACTGTTTAATTTAAAGCCTAAATATTTGTATCCAGTGGCCAAAGGTAATCAGAGAAGGTGTGGTTTATTATGGTTAAAGAAGAGTTCGCTTTCTCAGTTTTTTCCGTCAGCACTGATGAGGCAACTACTGATTTCACACTTTTTCATTTACCCACATGATTAATTATGTTCCAGTGAACCTGCTGTCTTTTTTCATTGATCATAATGTTTTATATTTCTACAGTCTTAGTATCCACAAAGATGAAGGACAAGTTTAATAAATAGAGAGGCATTTCAAAAATAGTTCACTTTATTGAACTAACGGGAGTTACTCAAAGCAAGCATTGGGGAAGAAAAAAATAGTTTTACCATAATCTCTTTATATCTGGCTAAGCAACCTGAACTGGATCTCAGTTTCACCTCATGTGAATCCTAAAACTAATATTATAGCCATTGTTTCTTTCACCAATTTATTTTATTTATATTTAAATAAATAACAAGGTTTAAGGTTGTTCTTCTTCAAGGACATTTGTTTAATAAAATTTAAAACAGTATCAAACCACCAGTGTTAGTTTGGGGTTGATGTGGCACTGAGACCTATCAAAATGTGTTGTGATCCCAGTTTGAAAAACACCGCTCTAAAACCTGGCCAAAAAGAAACTTAACAATGACTATTTTCCTCAAAGTAAAAGCATTTCATTACTAGCAGGCTACCTTAATTCTGAAAAAGATTAGCAGAAAAATATGGGGACACACAGGCAGAGCTTCTATAGTGGGAGGGATGTCTTCATTTATGTCAAAGTTCATTTATTTTACAGACAAAAATATACATAGCTTTATTTTTAAACTTTGTTCCAACATTTCATGACACATGCAATACAATCACCCTCACAAACATTGTCTGCTTATGGATGATGTTTTGCTCTGGACATGGAAGGCATATCTATATACACATTTAAAATCAGTATGCTTGGAAGGAGACATTTCCTTCACCTAGTGCAGTTTCTCCTCAGCAGCAGAAGACAAAGGTAGATATATAGAAGAGGGTTTTAACAATAACGTAATTGGGGTGATGAAGAAGATTCTACAGTGGAAAAGTAATCATAGCTGAGTGACTGGCCAAGTGGCAGAACATGGTTAACAAAAGTATCTGAAATGTCATCTCACCCTGATTCACATTACCCAAGATATCCACCTTCATATTAAGAATTCTTTCATTTTGCACATGCACCCATATTAAGGTGCAGAAAGCCTTCTCCAGCCTTATTCCTCCCAGGTCTGTTGGCCTATAACACCAATCAACTCTAGTGAGAATAGCCTATGTAAGGATATTGGGCTAGGCTGGCTGGGAAGGAGAGATTGGGGGACCCTATAAAAGTAGGGAATCGATAAATTTACAAACACTGGTCGGCTGTCTGGTTGTCAAGGGTTCCTACTGATTTACGGCAGGAGTTGCTATGTTCTGAACTGAGTGAAGATGCTGGGGGAGTATAGATGAAGCTGTTTTGCATGACGTCACTGACCCTCTCCAGCCTTGTGCCCTTCCTCTGCCATTAACAGGAAACAGAAGCAAAGGGGCTGGGAAAACAGGTTTTATATGATCAAGCTCACATAATGCTCCGATAAATTCCCTTTTCTGAACAGAGGGTTCTACCAACCTAATCCCAATCAACACCATAAAGATTAATGAGATGTCAATTACACTTTATGTAAGATTTCTTGCCACAAAAATGATGATGTTGCTAATAGCAACAAGTCTGATTACAGTACCAAATTCTGATGTTTAGAAACAGCTACTCTGGACAATACCAAAACTAAAGACAAAGTGTTGTTCTCTATCACATCAGCCATGCTAATCTGCATTAACCACATATCCAAATAGTTTTGAGCATGAGTCTTCTTTTTCTGGATTTTTTCTTTTTCTTTTTTAAGTAATTTTGAAACTCTTAAAATCAAGGTCTTGTTATCATGTAAATTTTGGTGTGGCTTGGCAAGCAGAAATTGCAAATGGCAGAATTTTCAGGACAGATGGAAGAATTTGTCTGCATTCAGGAGACAAAATATTAGTTTTTCTGTTTCTACCTCAGTTCTAAAGAGGTTCTCCTAAAGCAAGTCCTCTTGATTCCAAAGAAAATTGCTGTGAATTTCTGGAATCCTAACCTTATTCATCCATTTGTAGCATAGATGATCCTGAGTTAATGACATCATAACAACAACAGAAGAAAGTCACTCTGCTTTGTCACCCTTAATATGTGGAATTTTAAATCCAATTAGCTGTGCCTACATTTGCCTTCTAGCCAGTCTCTATTCAAACAATTTTATCCACAGTTCACACACTATTAAGGGTTCCCATAATTTTCCATTTTCCACTTAACCTTACAGCAAGAACATTCACAGCAACAAAAGCTAGGCATGATGCAAGGACACAAAATGCAAACTTTTCAGGTTTTAGATATTCTAATTTTTCTTCTTGCCTCCAAAGTGAAGCCAACCCCATATTAGATTATTCCCCTTCCAGAAACATCTTGATTATAATTAAAGAAATTAACATTCTTTTGCTTTACTAATCTCACAGAGAAGCCTCAGAAGGCTACAAAATTCAGGTGTTGCCAACATCAACACAATCATCAGCCAAGTGGCACCAGAGATTTTGGAAAAACCAGATCAGAGCACTATCCTCATAATACAGTCCTAACCTTAACCTTAAGGCACAGAACACAATAGGTATTATAAACAGCCTGTCTTAAAACTAGACCTCATAGTCACTTCAGGTTTGTATTCTACTTAGATGCCACCCCAAGCATCAATAACAAGCTGTCTAAAGAAGGCTCCTGAAACATTTCTGTTTCCTCTTCTGTCCTCTCCATTTTGGAACTACCATCCAAACCATGTTCTGCAACCATCCTCCCTATCCAATCCCATTTGCTCAGGAGTGCTGTTAGCCTTAATGTTGATCTGGCTACATTCTCACTCTAAAATTGACCTGGCTACATTCTCATTCTAAAATTATACAGTGTATGAAACTCATGCCTGCATGTCAATGAATCACAGTAGTTTAGTTGCACAGCAACATGTTCCAGAGACCTTTCCTTGCTGGCTACTTTTCTTCCCTCTCCTTCTATATATATAAGATTAAAAAAAAAATACAATATGCTCCCAGCTTCCCTGTGAAGAATTATGAGGTGCTCAAAAGCTTCTAGAGTTCTCTCACCTCCACTTCTACCAAACTTCAGTTCCCCAAAATGTGGGAACAATGCTATTCTCTGATTCCAGAGCGAAGGTTATTGCTGGGAATTTGGACTTGTTGGGAACATAAATTGTAACTAAATCAACCTAAAAAAATAAAAAGTGAACAAGGCATCCAATCTTAATTTCAGATTGTGTATGTGTGTATGTATATGTCTCTTCAAAAGAACAGTCAATATTCTGGTTGAATGAGCATTTTATCACCAACAAAAGGTGACAAAGGTCTAACCATTTGTATTTGGAATGCTAAGAATATGAGGAGTCAGCATTTATGCATGTCTGAAATGAAGCTGACCTGTATGTTGTCTCAGGAGGATGAGTACTGTCCTTCCAGGAAGACTATAGTTGCCAATTTTATGTTTCATACAGAATTTAAATATCTTTTAAAAAAAGAACACCTCAAAGGAAAGAGAAGACAAACGCATTAGAGTTCCAAATGGTTATCTGAATGGAGCAGTGGGAGCAAGAGAGAGATATTCTTTCAACCACATTTGCCTTTAGGAGTTAATGGCTTTCCAACGATCACTGTCAATGCTATTGATGCTGCCCACATGGTATGGCATGGAAGCAACATCATCTAAGTATGCTGTGGTGTCAATCTGAGTGCTGGAATAGAAGCCAGAATCCAGGCCTTCTTTCTTGGTTACCCCATAGGCATGGGGAAGGTGCACATCGACATCCTCAGGTTCATCCACCTGGCATTTATAGGAGAAGAGGATCTTTGGCTCAGACCTGCAATAATTAGAAAGAAAAGGAGAAACAAAACTGATTCTGTGTAGGAAGAGAACCTATGGCACACAATTCCTGAAATAAACAGTAATCAGCCATATTGTTCCTTTATTCATAATTACAATTATGAGGAAAATTCAGAATTCAGCATAATACTTTGCTATTTATTTTTGCCTCCTTGTGTTGTGGTCTCTTCCCTCCTCTCTTTTACCTGTATTTCAAATGAAAGATCTGTTGATTTAAGAACTAGCATCATAGTTTTTCCTGCAAAGTGCCACCTGCAATATGGGATTCAACAAAGCACAGGGCGTGGGATTTGCTGTCTGTCTCTAACTTCCATAAAATTATACCAACATGATCAGTAATCAGGGATGATGAATTCTGTAGAGTAGGAACAGCTGGACAGCCATAGGTTTCCTACTCCTACGCCAAAGGAAAGACGAGGAATGCTTCAGAAACTGAGTTTCATCCCAACATTACTCAGTAAGAAAGTAAAAAGTAATTACTATTAACTATGACAACTTTTGGAATTTCCAACTCATGCCTACTAAGGATTTTGGCAATTGTGATCAAAAATATCTGGAGGATGCCAAACTGAACATATTATTATAATCTAATATTGCCTCCCTTCCTGAAGTGTATATATTCACAGTAGCCAAATACTTTTTCTATAGAAGAAACCCAGAATAAGAATTAAAATAAACATATTAAGAATACTTTAAGTCTTCCCATCACTACTAGACATTCTATAGCCTATGCTCCAAGCTATAAAACCTTATTAGGACTTACACATCTTGTAGATATTCCTATTTTATACAGACTCAGAATTGCTTTAATACTCTGCACAGAGGCATAAGGGTAGAATATATATGTACAGACATAAAAAATTGTATTAGGGATGTAGTGGGGAATCCTTGGTTGTCCAGAATGATTCAATATCAAGGGAATGGAATGGAATGGAACAATGGAAATTCATTCTTAAAACCAAAACCATGGAAAGGGCTACTCAATTCAAAATTAAACATCAGTCAAGTCTGAGAAATCTTTCTATCCCATCCCATCCCATCCCATCCCATCCCATCCCATCCCATCCCATCCCATCCCATCCCATCCCATCCCAT